CATGCACATGTCACATTGGCCAGTTTGAAAACTCTGGTCCACGCCTTGGCTGTGCTGTAATGGCATTAACTCACAGGAGGGACTGTTACCAAGAAAGGGAAGTCGAAATATCTTCCCTGTTCTTCTTTCCAAACAGTACCATCACTGGGTACCTCTGCACACACAGGACACAAGTAACTATTTCACTGAAGAAAAAACAACTGTGAAAGTCTGTGCCACCGTTTTAAAGGTGATTTTTCAAATAAAAACTCCTGCTAGATGATTGTAACACTCCAGTTTCTTTTGGATAAGGAGGTTCGTCCTATCCTTCTAGGAAGCTCACTCTTCATCTGAAATGCAATTTCTTAACTAGTTCATGCACATCACTAAAATGGCCCAACCTTTCAGCAAAAGGGTAATCAGAAATAACTAAAACTTCTGTACCAGCACCCAGATAAGGAACCAACAGAGAAAGGGCTCAACCTCAGGTAGAGGTCATGTAGCACTCTTATTACTGAAGTGCTTATGCTGAAAACAGAGAAGTGAAATGCCTAAAGGGAAAAAAAAATATCTCCATTTGAGGAAGAGGGAAATGTAATAAACTGTGTTCAAAGACTCGTTGTCTCTTCAGGATTTCAAAGATGATGTCTGAGCCAGAGGACTGCTGGCTCAAGTTCCACCAGCACAGACCACTGGCACCACCTCACATGCCTGTCCCCAGTGTGTGGATCTCTGCCATGGCTGCTCTGCTCTCAGATGCACTTTTTATGACACCTCTTGTGCGTTTCAAGAAGAAATGCAAGCCAGTGTGGTACTTTTTTAAAATGAAGGTCTGACTAAAACAGAGATTTTTATATTCAAATGTCCGACATTAGTTCATTTACCAGCTGCCTTGCTGAGAATTCACTGATAAAATGCCCTAATAGAGGGTATTTTACCTCCATGTGGAGATTTCATGTTACTGTTTTGTTTGTCCTTTTATGTTTTGTATCAAAGAGGGTAATCTGTTAACGTGGCCAGTCTAGTTGCCTCTCTTCAACATGCTAATGCTCCTAAAAATGATGAGAGTGTGCACCCCCAGTCACTACTCCTCTGATCACTAGGGAATAAAATAGTTTGAGATGCTGGGGGCTGGAAAGATGTTTTGTAAAGGTCACACTGCTCTTTCACAAGCACCTAACCCTAACACAGATGAATAACAAGGATTTAGGCAGACTTTAAGGTCTTGGATTTCTTCTTACACAAGTTAACACCACACCATTTTCCTAATTTTTATGACTTTAGTGTTTGTAAGGCTCAGGCAGTACTGCAACACTTAAGACTGCATCATCTAAGCACCAGACCATTGTCAATTTGCTTATAACCACTACACACTACTAAGCGAGGGCAGCATTATTTTTTTTCATTTTGCTGGTAGAAACCAACCCTTGAAATTTAAGTACCTACCCTGATACATAAAACATGTATATATAAAAACCAGAAGCCACACTCAGAATTCCCAGATCCAAGGGGAGTAACCACCAGATAATCGCTCCTCTGACAACATGGAAACAATAAACCATGAATCCCCAAACAACATAAAATAAAACCAAAAAATTACAACAAAAACATTAAAATTTTTACTTTGATTCCTTTTACCCTAAATCACAGCATGAAATTAGGGGCAAAAAACGTATAATTTGAAGATTTTTAAACCCAGTCCACTGAATATGCAACACAAAATGCTGAGGGACGGTGAAATGAGGGTTTTGTATATGGAACAGACATATAATACAGGAGATCTTAATTAAAAGAAGGGAACACAGAGGAGGTGAGGAAGCAGGGCACCCATCACTGAATAGCCATGCACATTAGTTGCAGTTTTGAGTAAAATTTAGAAATAATTGATGCCTGCATGACTGCTTTTCTGGAAAGACAATGGGAACCTTAAGCACTTTGTGTTAGCATGTGGCTAGAACTAAACAGAAAGCAGAAGGAGCCTTAGATAGTACAAACCAGACAATCATGGTGCTGTATACAAAACCTGGACACTGTTTAAAAGATAAATATCAATTACTGGGATAAATCATTGCATTATTTCTTTACTGGGCCCCAAAGAAAATAACTTCATGTCTCTGACAGAACCTTGAAAACCCTGAACTATCCAAGCCATCAACACCACTCTTTTAGTCAGTGTTATCTGGCCATCCCCTGTTTCTGTGCTGCTCTACATCTGTCCCAGTCACTTTGCTATACAGATCACATCTCATTTAGCAAGCTGTCATATGAAATAAAACAAGAACAAAGCCAAACACCACCCATTTCATTTGTCTGCAGAGTTGTTTACAGGTATTTGGTATTAGATTCTGTGCTGAATGAATGAAGATCCCAAAGTCTGTGTACACCTAGCAGTGTCTAAGGAACAGGTCTGTGTAAATTATAAATTAGGATTACTCTATAGCATCTGTATACTGAAAGAGACTGTCTTAGAATAAAAAAGGAGCCACTGAAATGGTTCTGCAAGAAAATAGCTGTAGTTACTCCAGGTGATACGTGTGCAGTGAAAGAAACATTATTAATGTAAAGAAGGTAAATAAGTATCATGGACCCAACTAATACTAAACAAAAAAGGAAAATAATTATTCAGTATTTTCCTGTGTCATTTTCACTGGTGAGCACTACAAGAGAGTGCAACAATATTCAGGTTCATGTTATTCCAGATGTTATTTAGAGGCATTTGATTTTCCTTGAAATCATCCAAGCAAAGCTGTCAGTAAGCTTTCATTTGTGTGAAGTAACAGACACCAGAAAATGTCATGTCAACATTAATGCAGACATTCTAGGACAGAAGGCTTCCTTTTGCATGACACAGACCAATCAAACCTGATATACTTACAGTCTATTGAATTCCCTGACGTCAAACTTTCTTTGTTTTAAGGAAAGCTTCCTCTAGTGATCTATTTGAAAGCAATCAAGGGAAGCTGACAAGCAATGTAGGATATAAAATAGATGCATAGTGTGAATGAGATTCTCTTCTACAAGAACTTGCATTAAAAAAAATTATTTCAAAAAAGGGTAAAGCATTTGGAAAAAAAAATTATGTGTCTGATTTAGTTAGCAGGAGAGACATGGAAGCAATCTGAAATAACTTACACTAATTGAAATTTGCTCTTTGGTGCCAGCAAGAAAGGATTCTCCATATCTAAGTAAACTTTTGCACAGAGATAAAGCAGCAGCTGGTATATCTTTGAAGACATTTTTTTTATTGAAGATATTTTTTTAATTGAGTAGTTCTGAACTTATAAACACTTGCTGATCTCACCTTCATTTGTCTGTTTTGGAGAGTTTTGCTCTAAAATGACCAGAAACTCTACATTATACCTTTCTACAAGTCTTTGTCCATAAAAGACTAAGATGTACCACAACAGGTACCTGAAGATTTCCAAGCACTGCACTCCAAACTGTTAAGAGCAGGAGTTTTCTTGCTGTGTATACTGGTAAGGCAGTTTGTCCAGGAGGACCCAATTTTAATTAAAAAGAACAATAAATCTCATCAAAAGTTGCAGGAAAGGTTATTTATTTATAATCTTTGCTACCTCTGGCTTCAGTGTGGAACACAAGAAGCAATTCAAGCACAGATTGTGCAGGAAGTGACTATCCAGCTCTTTTGTTTGCTAACTATCAGACAACTTGAGGGTGTCATTTTCTGGGGGCATTTTGGCACCTGCAGTCACGGATGTGGGGAGTGCCACCCTCCAGGACAGGTGTGCCACCTCTGGAGAACCAGATGTAATGTGATCCAGATTATTCCATGCTGTGGCATTGCTTAGAAAAAGAACATCAGTACTGTCCAAGGTCCCTATGCTGTGCAGTTCCTTGCCAATTATGCCTCCTAAATGTCAGCAATTCACATACAATTGCCACATCATTCCTTTGTCTCAGAAGGATTCTCTGGGTGCCTGAAAAAATTTTTACCTCATAAATACCTAAACTCTTCCTTAACTGATTAAGCCTGTGCATTTTCAGCTCTAAATCTACAGTTATAGTGGAAAAGCATCACTTAACAGACAGAAAGGCACGATAACAAAAAAAGTCTCTCATTTTCCACTTGTCCAAGTGTTTGATTATGTGTTCTCAGGCAAATCAGATAACTTGAGATTCGCTTGACTCCTCTGCCGAGCATAAACACCATCCATCTTTGCCTTTACAGAACACTTTATAATCCTAGGATCCCAAAGCCAAGGACCAGTACAAAATGCACAGTGTCCCCTGAAGGAAAGCAGCATCAACAGAAAACTAGCCAGAGTCACAGGGAAAGCTGTGGCCATTTTGATTTATAAAACTACACTGGGTGAGTGCTGAGTACGATCCCACAGTCAGAGAAAGAATCAGAAATCCCCAAAGATCAAAAAAATTATCTACCAGAGGGTTAACTACCAGAGATTAATATCAGTAATTTACATATTATCTTTAAAAAGTATTAAATCCCAATAGCAAGGCAAGTTAATTTCCCTCCCAAACTTTCTTCTTTCTCTCTCTTTCCCTTAAACTTGGTTTCTGTCTTATTTATCATTGTTTCTTGAGGTTCTGATCACAGTATCATTGTGGTATCAATCCAGTGGAGGCATAATCTTGGTGATACTCCTTTTAAAGGATAATTTAATTAAAGTCTTAAATAGTAGAAGAAAATTAATTTCTTCTGACTTTGTCCTCTTTAGAATATTTAAACCTGCACAGTTATACATGAAAAAAATGTAATCTAAACCTCAGATTTTATCAATTATATACTTCTCCCATGCCTATCAAAGCAAAATCAGCTCTTTTAAAAATCCAGTAATTGGGGAAAAGTCAGTTTTTCATATTGAAATGTATCTCTTCCCACCTGTAGTACCAGGCACCTTAATGAAGAAAAAGAAAAAAAGGAAGGAAAAAATATGGTTCCCACAGATAGTTCACTTTTTTAAAGGTGAATTACATTAGTTGCAACCAAATGTGGATGAGCCTGGGAAAGTGAGAGCCTTCAGAAATTCAGAAATACTTACTGCTTGAGGCAGATAGTTCTCTTGGACTGGAGGACATGGGCTGAGCACACATCTGACAGAGACAGTCCCTTCCATTAAAGGTAACCCGATCTCCTGGTGGAAACGGACGCCTGGAAAGTTAAAGAGAAAAACAAATTTTTGCAAAGGTTATGCCAGAAATTTCCCTCTGTTCCCTGTGCTTGGAGTTTGCTGCCTTCCTCCAGTGCAATCAATATTTTACAGAAACTCGGGCCAAATAGTTTCTGCAATGTGGCCTTGGCAAAGCCAGGCACTGGAAGAAATCCAATCCATGGATGCAAGCAGAGCAGAGGTTAGACTTGCCTTGTATTTTCATTTAAAAAAGGTTATCAAAGTTATTTTATCTGAATAGTAGAGACAGTGAAATCTGCTAAGACACAACAGCTACGTTTATGATGGTCTCAGCAGGATGTTCGTGGATAGCAAATGATACAGAAGAGAACTCAAAGGAAGAATTGGAACTGTTCTTGAGGCTACTGAAGGAATGTGGAGCTAGTCACTCATAAATGTTAAGAATGTGTGTTAGGCAGAAGTTGACATTGCTGTTAACTCTTATTTGGTGCATAAAGCAGAGGATGAATAACAATTTTTAACTCCAAAATTGCTTAACAAAAGAACAGCTGCTAATTTCAACAAACCAAAATGTTTAAGACATTGTCTCCTTTCCACTGCCATTCCTAAGAGGGTCAAAAATAAATCAGCAGCAATACTGCATTTCATTAATCTACTCCAATGACTCATCTTTTGTCCATTCAACATAAAAATATTGATGCAAGTCAATGTACAGAAAACTAATGTCATGTTTCATACTGTATCATCAGGTTTCATGCTGTCCTTGAGAAATAAAACTGAAACATACACATTATACGATTACCAACATGCAGTAAATTCACACACTATTAAAAAACAGAAATACAATCAAAGCACTTTCAATTGAAAAGGTCTTGAAAAATGTCCCAGGCTACAGGACAAAGTACTTCAGCTACTCATCAGAGACAGAGGCTAAAAATGCCACCTTTCTCCCATCCAGAGAGCCTTAGATATCTTCTCTTTTATTTGCTGTAGAACTGAAGACTGGCTCTGCTACTGGGGACAAGAAACAGCATTTGGGAAGAAGAGGGGAAATCACAGTTGTCCCAAAGCCATGTGTCCCTACATGATGTGAAAATGAGTCTCCAGAATGTTTTCAATTGTTCAACTGTTCTCACAGCCCAAATAGCATCCAGAATTTTGCTTTACCTCATTTCTCCAACCAAGCTGGGCCGATCCCCTGAACTCAACTCAACCTATATCCATTATCTCAACATGCAATGCTTAATAATTCCTTCAGGCATGAGGGTAACTTTCTGAGAACAGGGAACTATATGTAACACAGCAGCTGCGTCCCCCAAACAAATGAGTGGCATTTTGAAGACCCTTAAAGTCAGACTTGCAGCAGATCTTTTCCATCCAATTGCTTCCCAAAGAGAAACACATCTTGAGACTTATGTCTCATGGCGACACCTTTTTCCCTGTTCTCCTTGTACTGGGTTCACACCATGCTAGTTGAAAGGGATGACTTACTTGCAAACAGTACAGGCAAAGCAGCTTGGATGGTAAGTTTTTCCCAGAGCTGTCACTACTTCTCCTTCCACGAACTCTCCACAGCCGTTGCAGCGGGTGCCGTACATGCGCTGGTAATCCAAGGTGCAAAGGTATTCCCCGTTCTTGATGAAAAAGCCTCCCTGTGCCAAGTCACACCCACACACTGGAAGGAGAAAATGAACCACACAGATAGATTAGAAAAATATACTTACTAAGGATGTCATCTGCTGACAAGTGAGATGGCCCTGGTGCTCTTTCTCCCTTCTATCAGATTTTTGCTTTTTCCTCCTGTCACTACATGCCTTGACATCCCAGGACATGGCTGGTGTTCTCTGGCTAAAGGAGAGTTTGTAATGAAGATTCTCCTTGTCTACATAATCATAACTTCCATGTGCTTGGTCCTCAGTTACCAAGACCTCAGTTACCAAGACCTCAGTTACCTTGCATCATCCAGTTAATCGTGTTATCACAGTTATCTGTACCAATGCAATCTTACTTCCACTTCTGGGGATGGATGTGAGCAAAAGAAAATACATTATTCCATAAATAGAACAGATTTTACTATTTTTTTCACACTAGCATACATTTTTTATGCAACCACATCCTTTAAGAAGCTTTCAAGGTGTTGATTCTTCCAGAAAAAAAATTAATATTATTGTAACGTAGCCTGGTTTAGATTAACTACTCCAGTCCCTAGGAAGCACTGAGCTGTTTCACCATTGCTGCACCAATACTTTTAGTTTTGTTTTTAAAAGTATGGTCTTTGAAATATTCAGGGTGATTTTACATTATTAATTTAGACATAAATATTGGGAGAAAGCTGCAGTGAAGAGGCAGTCAAACATTCAAAATTTAGCCACATCTCCACTATATAGACTTCATGACAAATGCAACCAAACTATATGACAGTATATTGAACACCAAATAAAGTCAATAGAAGATTATTCACACCTGTATTCTGAACAAATCAATATCCTAAGAACTACTGTTACCTTTGAGTGCCTAATCTGAATTGATTCACTTTAGTCTTTTATACACCATATTCCCTGTACTTCATGAATTGGGTAAACAACTCTAATATTTGGATAGAGACTTGTGTCCAAGTACAAATTCATTGGGAAAAATAATTGTAAAAATAAAAGAGTGAAGAACCACTCAAGGATTTCTGTGACTTGGCAGTTTTTCCACTGTAAGACACTTACCCAAACCAAAACACATCACAGCCAGGCTCCTGTTTTGCCCTAAGAAAATACTCACAGTGCTAGGTTGGCATTTCTGGTCAACACAGAGACAGAAAGCAATCCTGCCTATAACAGCCAAATCCCATGAAGAGAAAGTGCCATGGGAGATGGCAGATTGAATTTCACACTGTGCCTTTAGCTTGGATTGAACAAAGAACTTGAAACTACCTACTCAGTGTCCCTCAGCAGCACCAAAAACTTATATGCAGCTGCTCCCAGGTATTTTAGTTTCAGCCACTCCTACTGCTCCTCTGTATATTGCTGTATCTGTGTAATTCAGTAAGAGAAATCACTCTTCACAGCAGGCTAGGACTTTGGCTTAACTCTGCAAGCAATTCCATCTCATCCCTCTTCAAAACATTCAAGTACATTTAGATCAAGTATCAGAAATATTGTATATCAGAAATTCTGATTATTAAGGAAAAATAAATAAGAAGCATTCTAGGTCCCTGTAGTTACAAAGTCCTTGAAAAATTAAAATACACAATACAGAAAGATTATCAGGGGAACTGGGTTCAATTCTTCTTTCTGCCACAAGTCCCAAGCACAATATTGTGCCCAACATTCTTTGTCTGTTTCCCAGCCCTGGAGATCTAATGACTGTTACCACAATAATAACTACCAGAACAACAGTAAACAGTATATACCATAGTGCAGCTTAGAATTAAAGCAGTATCAGTACTAGTATTTTTCCAGTTTCACATTTCTGCATAGAACAATGATAATATTCCACGTGCAAACAAATTAAATTTCATGGTGGCATTAAATCCTCAAGCACCCAAAACTCAATTACAAGTGACTGAGAAGAATTACAAAGAACCACTGTTAAGGCTCTACTATAATGCTCCAAAATGTTCCAAGCTGGTTTTTAGGTACACCTCCAGAAGAAAAAACAAAGACAAAACCACACATCTTTCATTCCTTCATTTTCTTCTACTGATATCCATTTTGTTTAAAATATTAATTTCAAACTAATGGCACAGTATCTTGTAACCATAAGGCAGAAACCACTGTGACCTCCACACCGCATCACCTTGGACTCTTCCTGAGTTGGGCACCACACAGTAACTTTCCACTGCAGGTCCAGAGGCGAGGCCTAAGCCTACTTAAATAGGTTTGCTTCTCTAAGTTACTCTGGGTGGATCCTTACAATTAAATCATAGAGTAACTGAGAATTCTGCTTTAATGTCGGAAGGTTGTTAGGGATTACTTCAGTATTCAGACTATTACATCCTGTGGTTACAGTGTATGAAGTGGAGTATGGTCACTGAGTGGTCAATAACAGATGCTTCAGAAGCTGTTAAATTTCATAAAGAGCTAGTCATGTGTCCGTGCAATTATTTAAATCACATTTTTAATTTAACTTGTAGCTTTAACATCCAAGTCTATATCCATTTCTGCCTCAAGCTGAAGTCGCTCAGCATGCTGCTGTGTCTGCCTCAGAAGCTGCATATATGAACTCTCTGGCTCTTTACTATGGTCCCCAGTTCTACCAATGAGTCACTTTTTGGAGAACTCATTCGGTCATTGCAGCCCTCTTTACCTGCCAAGGGAGTGGTCCAATAAGCTGGGATGATCAAAAGGAACATTCAATGCCATCTCTGTGCCAGCTTCTTCTGAAAATCCAGTTTCAATGTATCATACAGAGGTCTGTGGCAGACCATAGCTTGCAAAAAACACTACAGACTTTGAATGAGAGGGTTCATGCACTCACAATTATTGGCTCTACCCTCTTGCATGCATTGCTACAGAGATTCAAGCCTTCTGACAAAAGTGGGGGCCAAATTATTTGGCAAGTCTTTTGAAGACAGTAATTACTATTACTAAAAAGAAGCTTCCTCTATCACCCTTTTCTTTCTTTGGAAGTCTCCTTTCCACCCAATCTCTAATTCATTTTGTCAATAACTCAGAATTTCTGAGTTAAAGTCTCTCATACTGGCAAGCCATGAATTCAGGCATGAGCAGAAGTGAGCCACCAGCAGACTCATCATCTTTGGCATTCTCACACCAATCTGAAGGAATTAAAGACTAACCCTGGCACCCCCACATTACAAGGGATTTTTGCAGTCGACTTAGCATATGTGTTCCTATCACTAATCACAGCTCTAAGCCACATGGGCAAAACAAGGGTCACCCAGACTGTTAACATCCATGGTTGGAAAAACACTGTTCCAGCCTGCTGCTTTCACTTTGAGTCAGAGATAAAATCAGAAAGGACAAACATGACTGTATCCACACTTGGTGTACAATGTGGTGTGCAACAGGGAAAGGATTTAAACAGGTTTTTGTTCTCCTTTTTTCTGCTTTTGGCAACTGTGCAGAAGTTGTGGTTCGGACAATACAACCCTTCAAGCTGAAACATCGTGCCTTAACACACATATTTATGACCACTGTAGAAGTAACACAGAAAAGGTGTACAAATTGTGATTGTTTTTTATGAAAAAGAAAGACCATATGCCCAGCAACATTCATGCCACAGAACAGCAGAGGCAATGAAGAGAAATCAGCTGTGAACATATGTACAACACATCCTAAAGGTGTGACCTAAGCAATTGCTGTGATACACGTACCATGTCATCAAAGAAAAATTTATACCTAAATGATGACAGTTAACAGGAAATGTCAAACTATATTCTTCTTGGTTTTTCCTATACTGATGGGAAAAACAGCTTTGAAAGAATTACTTCATGGAGCCAACAGTGATGCACAAATCACATTTGAGAAGGCAAAATGCAAGAGGTATTCCATAAACATCCATCACATGGAAATACTTCTACAGGAGAGTAACATTTCACCAAGATTATTCCTTCTCAGTATGATGGAAGATATTCTGTTGACATTACCAAGATCTCCCTTCTAAAACAGGAGACACTGGGGAGCATTTCTATTCCCTACAGTACCACAAGCATAGAGACAAAAAAAAAAAAAAAATCAGCATTTTTCTTTAAATGAGAAAATAAAACCATTATCTTCAAAAGCTCCAGGAGGAACTCAGCCTTTTTTCAGAGTCTGTATATCAAAGAATTTCATATTACAAACAAACCATCCTGCCTCTCTTGTGAATGGAATAAGCTGGCATACAGTTCTGCCTCCCACCGTATGGAAAACACCCACCTGCCAGCTTTTTCTGTCTTGAACTACTCTCTGGAGCTACTATTTTGCATCCTTAAAGGACAAAAGGATTGGAGACACTGTCAGTGCTTCTGTCAGCTCTCAAAGCTGCAGGGTCTATGTGTGCAAACCTGGGGTATTATGACAAAAGGTCAGGATTGCTCAAGAGCAACCCAACTGCCTGGGATCTCCAAGGGACCAGGACCATTCTTAAGATGAGTCACTTCCAAGCTTTAACAGAGATGATGAAAATGAATAGATCAGATTTTTTTCAAAGAGAATGGAAGCAGGATTTGATCCTACTGAGCATTATGTAGGATTTCCTCAGGCTTATTGTCAGTGAGAGCTGAAAAACCAGGCCCTTGGTAAAATAACTGTATGTTGATGTTAAGTAAAAACTGTTTCAACACTGAAGAAACAAAACCACACAAGAAGACTCTATGAGAGAGGGCTCTCAGTTTGCAGAAGTGAATGCTATTTATTAAGAAAAGTCTAATGATCTGCTTTGCTACCATGCATTAAATAAGGTGCAAATTCAATTTCCTGTTGGGGTTTTATTTCTTCCTTGTATTTCTAAGCTTCATAGAATAATGGAGCTGTTCTCAAGCAGGGAAATATTCATACAACAGCTATTCTTAGGGCATAATGGATCTCTTGTTTGCAGGTAGAAAGGAATTTGGCATCGTTTCAGTTTATCACTAACATCCAAACAAATACACAGGAAAAATCTGTTTCTTTTTCCGTGCCACAGTTTAACAAATCCCATATTGAGGAAAGCAAGGTTCATGTTCTTATTAAAGTTTAAAGTTTC